GTTCAGATTATTGTTTCTGAGACAAATGAAACCCGTGTGTGTTTTAAATAACCCATTTCCAGATGAATGTTTACGTCGAAATATAGCCTTGATTTAAGCACAGCCTGTACTTTTCCAGATGCCCCATGCCGAGACTTGAGTATTCTTTTTATAACCTCTATGGATCACTTGACTAAGCGGAGGGAAAAAGTTCCTTCCAGAAGCTCAGCCTAGCGGGGCTCCCTTTAACAGGCAACATCTATGAACAGAGCCTGCACTCTACTATTCCAGGCCTTCGCAAAGTACATCAATTACTTTTTCCCTAGTAATTTCATCAGGAGGTGTGGCATGATAAAGCCAGGGCTAATCATGGGGCTTGACACAAGCTAGGCATGGCCCTGAGTCCTACAGATCTTCACTTTCTCCTTTCATTGGAAACATAAGCAGCCCTACATGACAGTATGAAGAAAGGAGCTGGCGGTTAGGACAGTGCCAGCCTCCCTCCATCCACATGGAGCCAGCAGTTAGCCTTACCCAACCTCCATTAAACGTAGAATGGGGCGGGAGAGAATACTCAGTGGTAAGGGCACCAACTGCCCTTCCAGAGGTCCTAGGTTTGATTCCTTGTGTCCAGCGTGGGGATTACACTGGTCTTAACTCTACTTACAAAGGATTAGATGCCCTCTTCTAGCTTCCTTGGACACTGCACCCAAGTGTCCATACATATAAAATGATACAATGAAATTTAACTAAATGAACCATAAAACAATATAAACTAGAACCCACTACATTGTGAAATCCTCCAAAGAACCAGCCAAGCTTCACCTTGGGGGAGATAGGATGGGGAATGTGGTTAGTGTACGGGAGGGATTTATGTGTTAAAGATGTGTGTGAGCAATAATAGAGAATGAAATCTGGCAGGAGAGACGTGCAGAGGGCAGGACTTAGAGAGAGAGAGATTTCTCTCTCCCCTTTTAATGATTGATGGGTAAGAGGAGGCAGAAAAATGTCTTGGTCTGAAAAAGAATACAGAGCCCCGCCTTCTGCCGAGAAGTCAAGTGGCGCTCCTCACTCTCCATGTCCCTTGCCCTCAAGGGACTTTGTGAGCATGCGATGGCATGCAGAAGCAATGCCCTTGCTTTGAGGGAAAGCGGAGATGACATGAATGAAAGCTTGCTGTAGAGAAAGCAGAGAGCCCCTAGGAAGACTTGCTTTGGGAGTGGTTTCTCTAACACAGCTGGGCCTTGGATGTGCCGAGCATCACACTCTCCAGCTGCAGATATTTGAAGGAATAATTTATGCACTCAGAAAAGGGCAGGCATGATTTCTTGAATGCTGACACTAAATTTTCATCTGAAGCACTGCCTCAGCTTGGGAAATGAGGATGGAGATTGTTAGGAAACAAGGATTTGTTCACCTCCCTTAGAGCTCCCAACGCCAAAGTCATCCATGCCACCCTGACATCTCCAGAAGTCATCGGGTCCCCAGCTCCAGTTCCAGTGATGTGAGAGGATAGCCCTCCACATTTTATAATCTGTTCTGGATCATAGCAGAGGGTCATGGCTTAGAGACATATGGGTGCTGTAGCCTAGATGTAAATCCTACATGGGTCATTCTGAAGCCTCAGAGTCCTAGACTTCATCGCGGCAGGGGAATGTTTTCCTTTTTCTTATCAGCAACACACACACTCTAGTCATTTTCCCCCAGCAGGATGTACTTTATCTTAACACCAGAAGATGAAGGTGACAGCACATGACAGTTTGTCAAACAAAGGACCAAGGGGAGCCTGGGCTTAGGATGGGACAGGATGAACAGGTGGCACCCAGTAGAATAATAGCAATGGAGCTGTTATTCGGAGTGCTGCCATATTGTGTGGCAAATGTCATCATCTGTTTGTCGGTCCCTATAGGAGGACCAACACATAGAGTGAGCCTAGTGTTGATGTAATGATGGTGTTAGTTAGTGCTAGCCCTTCAAGACACATGGATAGAATGGGGTCCTGGCTCTGAAGGGATAAGGTTGACATATTAAGGATGTGTCTAAGCAATACCTGAGAACAAGGTCTGGCTGGAGAGAAGTACAGAGGTCAGGGTTAGCAGAGAGGCAGCAGACCATACTGTTCTTCCCTTTGGGTAATTACTGGGTAATCTTTGTAATTTTGGTCAGGGGGAATTGAGCATGAAGGAGTTCTCTCTATTTATTTTGGGCTTGTTTTGTTGTTTGCTGCTCCTTTTTAGATGTGTGTAAGCAAGCAAACTCATTGGTAGAGGGCGTTAGCACCCAGCCTGGGCTCCTGAGCTCAGGGGTGAATGGTTTAGAAATGTGGGTTCCTTTTCATTATAGTAGCAAGTGGCTGGCTGCTCAGGAACCACAATATATTTAGGGGGGTCCTGGAAACACACAGTGCAGAAAATAATGCTACTGTATGTTGTCAAAGGAAACCCCACACCCATAGATTGACAGACCAGTCACAGACACAAAGTGTGTGCTAATGGCTTTATTCTGCAACACAGAAGGGTTAGTTTCTTTTGTGAGTTCAAAGAAAAACTATCCTGAAACTGCTGTACATTTTTTCTGCCTTTAATCCCCACTGACTCAGTGAGGGGCCAACACTCACCAAACTAGTAGAATGTCAGAGAAAAGCTCACATGCTCTCATGATGTCAGTGGAGGATGTACAATTATGAGCAAAATTCAAATTTCCTGCCCAGGACACAGAAAACCACCCAATACATGAATACTAAATAGACGAAGATTTTTGTTTGCCAAAGAACGTGCATGTGGGGGCTGAGGGTGGAGCAATGTGATTGATGGGACTAGCTCAGTGAGTCTGAGGCACTGGGTTCAATTGCCAGAGGGAGAAAACAGGGAGAGAAGTGAGAAAAGTGGGGAAGGGAAAGGAACAGGATGAAAAGACAGAAGAGGAAGAACCTCACGAGCCTGAGTATGTTAGATGCTAACAGGAAACAGGCAAGATCTTCAGGCCCATGATCTGACCCTTAGGTCTGTCTCCCGCAGAGAATTCTGATGAGGATGGGATAGTGTGTGTGTGTGTGTGTGTGTGTGTGTGTGTGTGTGTGTGTTTGACATGTAGGAAATGTGCATTGCTACATGTGCTATGCTCAAGTGCACATACATGTGGAGGACACCTTCTCTCCCCTTCTTTCGTTCCTTTCTTTCCTTTTTTTTTTTTTTTTGACTTTTGGACACAGGGTCTATCATTGTACATTTTGTCTAGGCTGTCTGGCTCTCTGACTATGGGGTTCCCAGGAACTTCCTTCCTTTCTCTAGCCCCCATCCCCTCCCCAGTGCTACAGGAATGCAAAGCCATGCTATTGTTACATGCTCTGGGGGTTGGAGTTCAGACCGTCTTGCCATCTCCCAGCTGGTGGGGACACTGCTTTAGCTGACCACGGACTACCATGCTCATCCCTAATGCTGAACACTGCCAATCTGTGAAAGCCAGTGTGCGTGGAGGTTTCAGATTATAAAGCACTTTGGATTTCAAACTTCTGGATGAAAGGGGTTCTAACTCTAATCTGAAACAGTTAAGTGTAGTTTTGTTTGCTTTTTATTCTTTGGGGGCCTGTCACTCAGCTCCCAAATAAATACATGGGGATTCTTTTTTCCTCTTTATGAATGCCCAGCCTTAGCTTGGTTTGTTTCTAGCCAGCTTTTCTTAACTTAAATTATCCCATCTACCTTTTTCCTCTGGGCTTTTTACCTTTCTCTATTCTATATACCTTTCTTTCCTTCTTACTTTGTGGCTTGTTATGTAGCTGGGTGGCTGAGCCCTGGCATCCTTCTCTCCTTCCCCCTCACCCCCCCACCCCCTCACCCCCTTAACCCCACCCCTGCCCCCAATCCTCCTCTTCTCTCTCTTTTTCCTTTTATTCTCTCTGCCTGCCAGACCCACCTATTTCTCTCTCCTGCCTAGCTATTGGCTGCTCAGCTCTTTATTAGACCAATCAGGTATTTTAGGCAGGCAAAGCAACACAACTTCACAGAGTTGAACAAATGCAACACAACTTTTTGCATCATTGACAAATATTTCACAGCATAAAAGAATGTAGCATATCTTTAGCTAATATTCCAGAACAGTTAAAGCCCCAATATTCCACATTAAGAATGTTTAGTCTGTATTTGTTTTCTTCCTGCTGTCAAAAACATTAGGGATGTTGTCGAGCAGTTCACCTTCTTGGTACCTCAAAGAGGAGGATACCTCTCCTTTATCCCTGAAACTGCAATTGACTTTAACTGTTTAAAAATCTAGCACATTATACTGACATGGCAGCAAATTCAACAGGCTGATAAAGTTCAATGTGAACTGAGTCCCACAAGGTCTCTGATCTCCACATATATTTCACAGTAAGCCTGCCCACCTTAACACACATGAACATATACAATACATGAATACATGAAAAATGAATATAAAAAATAAAATCTAGAATATAAGATGAAATTGAAAATAAAATGTTTAAAGAACCCCATTGCCATATCATTGTATTTCATTCTGAAACAAAATTTGAATTTCCTTCTAAATACACCGAACTTATGAACACTCAATAAAACAAAATAACAAGTCACTTTCGTAAAGAGATGAGGACTTGCTAGATTACCCAGTATCCCTCACTCCCTGGGTCCTTTGCCGAGATAGAGGAGGTGGCCCACACTGGGGAGAGGCAAACCAGGTCCTATCCTGAGAGCATTTATATAGAGTGACGCTGACTTTTATTTAGTAGAACCTTCCTTCCAACCCCACTGGGCCAAGACAGACCTTTTTTCTTCTGTTCCCGAGTAAGAGTCAGTAGATCAAGAAAGTCCACAGGAGACTGGAGGCACCACATACAGCTGGCTACTCTGCCTCCACATTTGCTGGTTGGCATTTAAGTATCTGCTCCACCGACATGCAACCCAATCTACTTAAAGACCACGGAAAAGCACTGCACGGGACATGTGGGTCTAACGCTGGACTCCTGAGTGACGTTTTCTAAACCTTGTCCGTGTTTCTTTCTCTTGCAGAGCAACAGGCTTCGGCTTCTTGAATGCACTCTGTAAAGCTGCGACCGTGCTGGGGAACCTAATATTTGGCTCCTTGGTCAGCATTACCAAAGCAATCCCCATCCTGCTGGCTTCCACCGTACTCGTGTGTGGAGGACTCGTGGGGCTGCGCCTGCCGGACACACGAACCCAGGTTCTGATGTGACAGAACAAAAGCCATCTCCTTCTCCCACTGTGGGTCGGTCCTCCTGACTCGAGACTGCAGAGGTTCTTGTGTGTGTGTGTGTGTGTGTGTGTGTGTGTGTGTGTGTGTGTGTGTGCGTGTGCGTGTGCATGTGCGTGTGTGTGTGGAAAGGCGGCCGAGCATCAGAACACAAACTTTTGCCGTGACTTAAAGTGTAGCTGCATATCGTTTTACCCCTCCAACGTGACTTTGTGCCGTTTTGGTTTTCCGGGCATTGTTATCTTTTTCTAACCGTGATACTCCTGCCTCCCTGTACCCCGTGGAAGTGTTTCTAAAATGTCCCAGTCAGCCAGGCTTTCCTGGGGATTCTGTTCACCGACACTGAGCAGCTAAAAAAGCCTGTGCTGGTGTAAGAAATAGACCCCGCCCCTGATGCGTCATTAACAGGAAGTTTAAGTTGGCATAATTGAGTTTGTGCTGAGGAAAGGGATTTCTTTCTTTCTTTTTTTTTTTCATAGAGTGATATTTCCTGTTTACTTAGAAAAAAAAGGACTCCCAGCCACTCTAGCTGTTACAGCAGGGTGTTTCAAGAAAATTGTGTGACACCAAGCACGTTTGGCAGAAGCCAGATTTTAGACGGAAAACCGAATACATGAGAGGGCAGCCGTCACAGTGTCTGGGACTGTGACAGGTGGATAGCAGTGTTTGAAGATCAGAGATCCTCTGCCTCTCCTTGCATTCCCTCGCAAGCTGCCCCGGAATTGGCCAGATAGCAGATTCAGGGAAAGAAAGCCACTTCTTAAAAAGCAGCATCTGCCTCTTCAATTCTGCTACACTTTTCCCTTCTCCGGTCTAGCAATTGGCAGTGGAAATTAGAAACTGGTAAGAAAATCACAACCAAAGCCATTTACAAATGCAAAAGGATGTTTCTCTCAATAACTGTTTCTTGAGGGTCAAAGCCATGCACCCTCATTTGGTCAACTCTGTACTGTCACTTTTTAGCTCCCATCTCCACAGCCTGTCTTGTCCCTCCAGGTTCCTCCAGCTATGGGCACCCAGCCTTGTTTCTGGTTTGCCTCTGAGCCCACCTTCTCTCCCAAGCAAGCATCTGGCAGGCTGGACAGCATCTCCTGGTGTGTGTCTGTCTGTTTTACCTCTGGAATCTCCATGATCGTGGAAGGAGAGGTCAGCAGGACATTCCCACGGGCCAGCTGTCAGCTAAATGACCTTCTGGTCTCTCCCTGACTGCCCCTCCCCCAAGCCCGTCCTTTTACACATCTTTGAAATCTGAAGCCTCTTTGTAGATTTGCAGCCTGTGATAACAGCCAGCATAAGTTCCATATTTAAACAACATTCTTTTTTTAACTTCCCCTGTCTTGTTGGAGGGTGACCCTTATTGCTTATTTTTTGCTGTTTCTGCATGATCACAGCCCTGGGGCTTCCAGAAAAAGGAAACTTTTGTTTCCACTAACCATTCTGTTCAAAGATGTAACTGCTCCCTGGAGCCCCGCCCCCTCCTCTACCACATTCCCCATCCCTCCTGGAGCTCAAATTCTGTGAAAAGCTCTTTGATTAACATAAACCATTAATCCACTGCTCCAGCAAGTAATTCAGGCTTGGTAGAGGGGACAACCTAGAGTTAAGTCGGGAATCGGCAGAGAGTAGTTCCCTAGAGATAATATAGATACTCAGAGCCAGGACATCGAGGCTATCAGAGCAAAATCTGCAGACAGAGGTGACTGGAGAAAGGAAAATCTTTAAGACTAGGCATGATTAACTTGAAAGATGCCAACAAAGCAGGGACCAGAGCAGAACTCACTTCTGTTTCCTTTCACCTCCCTGGGAAACAAACCCGTATTTAAAATAACTAAGAGAGAATCTTTCACGTTATTCATTTTCCATGTGGGTTCGTTTCCACCTCCTATTTACCCGTGATTTGTCTTCTTTTTAAAAATAAAGAAGGCATGTGGGGCCCAGAGCAGATCTTTTGGTTGAATGTGGTGTGTAAAGAAAATGCTGCAAAAATAAGGTATGAATCGCTATCTCCCCATACAAAGGGAAACCCGACATAGTCAAGGACATTGTTTTCTCTGCTCTTGAGTGGTAGTGAGCTTACTGGATAATCTTTAGTCTCAAATTGTCTGTTCTCTGTCTCATAGTCGGACTGCACCAATTACATTCCAAACTGCAAGACATAGCTATTCAGAATTTTATCTGGATGCTGGGTTGGGTTGGCAGGGATAACTCAACAGAACCCTACTTTGTAAGATCATCTGCCATCTAGCCCCTTCATCTACCCCAGGCTTCCCAGGTGCCCAAGGGGGATCTCTTCTAACCTCCTAGACAATCAGCGGTCACAAACCTTCTTGGCCACCACCTTTCCCACCTCCCATGATTTTCCCTCAGCCTTTTCATTGGGCATCACCTTCATTGCCCATGGCAATGTCCCAGTTGCTTCCCAAGTATGTGGTGCGGCCTGCTTGGGTTAATTAGAGATTAAGATATAACCATGAGATTCAACAGAAGCCCCAGTTGCTTGAGTGTTAAAGGCCTTGGCACCTGGGCAGTCATCTATTCCATTCCATATACAGCAAAAGGAAATTAAAAGCTGATTCAAAAATTAAAGAAAACAGCCCCATTTGCACCTGTATCTGGGACTCTGTTTCTAACGAAGATTTCCCCCGTTGCTCTTCAGTATCAGTCCAGAATGCTCCCAAGTTTTACTATCTTCTCAATAGGAAAGGAAACAAAACAAATGATGGCAAAGTAGCTTCTCTCAACTGTGACTTCTATAAGATGCCCCACTCTACATAATTGGGTCTGAAAGGCTCACCTTCCTGATCCATCTTACACCAAGACAGATCACCAATGGGTTCTCAGAGGCACAAGCTCCACAACCAGGCAGAGATCTTTCTGGGGCAAATGCACTTGGTCTTAGCCCAAAGGCCAAGAATTAAGTCACTGGTCATATCGGCCCTCAGTTTTCCCATCTGTAGAGAAAAAGGATGACACTATTTTATTCTCCAAGATACCTTGGGACTACAATGAGAGTTGCTTCATCTTCTCTGTCTTCCGCTGATGGGAAGCCTACCTTCATGACATATTGAAAATGAGACAATAACCAAGTCTATAAGCAGATCAGGAGGTGGCTTGGGAAGACCTCATACAATGAGCTAGAAGAGTTTTCATGTTGCCTGTGCTGCCCATGCCTAGGGATTTTAAGTATATCTCAGTTCAGAACCACTGGGGCTGCCATTGCTCTACCCCTGGAAGACACTGCTGTTAGAAGACAGTCTGGTGGAGGCAGACCCACAAAGGCTGTATCCTCTACACCCCTGCCCATCTAATTCATTGTTTTCTTGAAATTACCTTTAATGGGTCTAGGCCATGGGAAACAACGTTCCTCAGTGACTTCACATAAATTGGTAGATGGATCCTCATTTACAAATCTCACCAATCAGAACTCAAGTTTGCACCAAAAACTTATTTGCTTTCAGAATATCTTGGGACACCGAGAGAGGGGTAGTGGAAGAGATGTGGTGGTGAAGAGAGAGTCCAGTGTTCCATTGATAATGTTCCAGCAATGGGATTAGTGCACCTGGGAGACATTCTAAACTCTAGAATCAATTCCAGATCATTCCGTGGGAACACTTCCTGACATCTTCTGCCAACCAAAATAGAATATGATATTCCCCAGTTTGTTTCTATCTTATATCAGGAGGCTTGTGCCTATTTCTTCATCAAGATGCCTTATTTGTTCATATACAAAAGGCTCCAAAGCCAGGAATGCCTGGATTTATCCTTCATCTGGAATTGTCGACAACTGACATATTGTTTGGAGCCTAATGGCTACATATCAGGTTTCTTTTAAATCCCATGTTGTGCCAAACTTAGACTAGTTACCAACCACCCTCCCCCCAATAAAAAAGGTCATGCTGAGACAACAAAAGGGCATTGACACAGTAGAGTGTTCTGGAGGTGGCCCATGTGTTTCTTGGTGTTTTTCTTCTGCTGAGCAAAGTGTCTATTTTAGGTAAAATGTCTCTTGTAATCTAACAAAAGGAAGTTGTCAGGCTCTTAGATGCATTGTGTGTCCTTCACCGTTTCAGGAAACTGGCGATTCTCCATGTACTGTTCTGTCGCTTTCACTGTTGACCATTCCCCTGTCAACAACCTCTCACCAACCACACGCAAAGCATTTGCTGGGGCTTCCTTTCATTTACTCAGCGCCCAGATGCAGTTTAGTCATCCCAGCATTTGGAGTCACAGGGTACCCAGTCCGTGGGTCTGCTCAGGTCAGTGGAGCTGGGTAGAGGAGGGAGTTGGGTAGATAAGCCAGTCTCTCCTTTCATGAAATTGGAGGCTAAGTACTGGCCTACGATTGTGCTAGGTATTCAGGCACTGGGCTCCATGCAGAAACTTAACCCTCTGCAGTATTTCTTTGAGAACAGGGAGAGCCAGGGGAATGAATGAGAGGACAATCTTATAATCCTCTCATGGTGCCTGTTAGGCCTGTCAATGTCTTTAGTCTCCAAGTTTTAAACAAGTTGTGACCTACAATAGGTAGTACAAGAACTATGCAGTGACGGGGCAACCTGTGACAGAAGTTAATCTTCTTAGTCAGGCTGTCTTTGTGGGAGGGGGTACTGAACAGTCCTTGAATCAAGACACATTCAAGCACATGTTTCTTCACATGGTCTCAACAGGAAATTGCACTAAGATGCTGTTACAAAGAGAGCCGACAGCAGAGAGAGCCCATGCCTTTCTAGAGATGCTCATTTCTCCATAGCTGTTCCTTACAGGGCGCTAGGAAGTATGTTCCCCACTGGGCATGCTAGAGCTCCCTCTCCAGGCCCTCAGCAAGCCCTGGAACCTGACAGCTGATCTCTGGCCTCTCCTCCAACCCTCCCAGGAGGCGTTTCCTTTCTAATGTCAGTCGCACTTCCCCTTTTCTAGCCTCAGCAGATAAGTCACCCAGAAAACAGGTTGTGACAACAGGAGGCCAGGGAGGCTGCAGGTTACATTTTGAAATGGAGTGTGGCATTGTTCTGAAGCTTCTAGAGCCTTCTAGGAGTCAGGGCAAAGAGAGAGTGTAGTCACTGGACCTCTGAGCACCGTGGTACCTTTTCCCCTCACCAACTCTGTCCATGTCCTCCAGGCAGCTCAGATTCACTTCCTTCCTTCATTAATGTCCTCCTTCCTTCTTCTTGTCCCCTCTTGACTGTAGCAGTTAACGAAAGTAAAGGCAAAAGCTGGGCACATCTTTAATGCCAGCACTCGGGAGGCAGAGGCAGGTGGATCTCAGAGTTGCACAGGGCTACACAGAGAAACCCTGTCTCAAAAAAACAAAAAAGAGGCACCAGAATTCAGGAATGGATGTGTTCTTGAGCAAGCAATGTACACATCCTTACCTTTATGGAGCACAGAGGATGGAGAACCTAGGGGAATGTGAATTAAGTGACCTGGTGCCCTGTGGGTCCCTGTAAAGATTCGGGTTTGTGATGTCCTCCTAGCCCCACACCCTGATAAGGTTAGCATAGAATCAGAGTGGCCTGTTCCTGAACAGAACACATGCTTGGCTTTCAAAAGGAGCACTCCTCACCAGGAACATGGCATTTTTGAGATATAGACGGCACATGGCCATCTGTGTGAGTCCTACTCAGCACCGAAGGTCAGATGCTTAAACTACAAAGGTTGCCCGTCCTCTGCACCCGAACATAGTTGCATGTCCCCTAGAGCCAAGAACATTGAGAACTAAAAAGAGGCAACAGCCTTCAGCCTTTGGTTCAAACTCAGATAAGTTTTTATGCTATACTAAAAGCCTTCCTGTAGTGCCCTAAGCAGCTTCCAGGAGCTCTGAGAAGGACTAGCCAGCCAGAACATAAGGGATGGTGTCATCTAAATGCAGCTATGGCTGGGAACAGGCCCAACCCAGTTCTATAGAGGCAGTTGTTTAGTTGTTTAAGCTTCAGAAATTTCAGGAAAGCCATCAAGAAACATAGCCATCATTAAAAGTTAAATACAATGAAATCAGTTACATTTTAAAACAATATATATATATATATTCAGAACTCATCACTTTCTACTTATTTTGCTAGATTTTTGTATTAGTCATGCCCTTGAGGTAATATATACCTAGCATATCTCTCTTATGGAAATACTGTGTAATGGTTTCCTATTGGACACATATTTTCAATGACAAGGTCAATGCCATTTTACTGAGCTCCTCCACAGTGGTAACATTTATAGTAAGAAAGTAACAAATGCCACAGATTAGACTCCTCCCACCTCTACATTTACCAGCATATCACTATCTGAAGCTCTGAAGAATATTTGGCTCCTTGTCACTCAGCAGTAGCATGCTTTGCACAGGGCAAGGAGGTTGGGCATTCCAACATTCAGACCCAGACCAGGTGAAATTGAATGTCCCCTTGGGCTTGTGAGTCAGCATTCCATTACCCATAAGTCCACAGGAAGGCAAGATTTAGCAAGTACTCATGTCAGTACTCAAAGGTGTCCTTCCACATTCTTATTGGCTCAGAACAGGACCGACCATGCAGAGAACCCCCGGGCCTCTGGGTGTTGTTCTTTCAGGAAAAATTGCAGTAAATTAGCTGTTTCACGCACCTTCCAAAATGTGGTCATGTATTCTCTGCCTGACCCAGGAACACACTGAACAGACGTCTAAAAAGGAAGTCCCTACAAGAGGTTTTTCCAGGTACTCATCCACCCTGGCTGCCCGCTCAGCCTACAACTCCACCCTGCCTTCGGCAATGAGATCCTGGCAGTGGTCCTGTCCTTGGTTTGAGTGTATGAGTGTTTTGGCTTTCTATTCTTTCCCTTTTCTCTTTTCAGTACTGTGTCTGCTGTCCCGCTGTTTGGTCCAGCCCCCCCCCCCCCCCGTTGTACTGTATATATGTGCTGCATGTGTGAAACCTCAGTAACTCCTATTTCAGGTTTCTGGAGTCCCCTTCTCCAGTTCAGCTGATCCTGCTATGAACTCATCTTTCTGGTATGCTCCTCTGTGTCTCATTTCCGATTGCCAAGATGTTGGGCCAAGTGTATTTTCACAAATGTTCCAAGACAGCCATGTGTGTGTATCCTTGTGAAAGGGCATGCTCTGTGCGGGATGGCTCGTGTACAGTGTAAATCTATCACATGTGGAAGTGTGTATACATTTATATGCCAGATAGCTATCATTCATGTAACAGCTACAAAGATATTTAATGTACATCAGATTAATAAAAGAGCATTTTTTGCTCCATTATATTCAAATAAAGTTTGCTGTGTGACTGCTTCCCTTCCAAACAAACAACCTTCAAGGCACAAGCATCTTTTGCTGGGTGTGGTGGGTCAAGCCTGTAATCCCAGCATTCAAGGGGCTGAAGGAAAGAAAAGGGTTGTGAGTTTGAGGCCAACCTAGGCAACATAGAGAGACCCTGTCCTAGGGAGGGGGAAGGAGAAAAACAAATGAACAAATATGAGACACATTTTTATGTCCTCGGCTCTTGAGAAAGCCGGTTCCTCTGGTGTGAGCCAGTTTTAGTTGCTTTTTGTAGACTGGTTCCATGGGTACTGATGTGTTGTTGATTTTACAGGAACACTTTCCAATGGTTACCTAGGGCCACTGTGAAGAAAATGCTTGGGGGGGGGGTGGAACAGATGCTTGTGTTATTTTGCCCTAAAGCAAGAACAGTTAACAGATTTCTATCCACACATCGCCTCTAATTAATTGATATTGATTGTTAGAACATTCATTTGAGAACAATGAGATACTATATTTGATGATGTTCAAATTAGAGGCAGACACAAAGACTACATATTTGCTGTTCCCCAAAGAAGACTTTTTACTGTGTTTAACAGAAGGTCCATGTATCCCCTTGCTCTTCTTTAGTAAAGAGTCTTGCTGAGTTTGCAGGATACACTCCAGGGATCCTCCTACCTCTGCTTGCTATGACAACCAGCTCATATCATGGCATCCCATCAACAATTTGGATTTCTAATTTTGTATTGTCTATGTGAATATATACCATTTGTATTCAAGTACCAAAGAGAACTACAGAAAGAGTTGGATCCTCTGCAACTGGAGTTACAGACCATCATAAGCCTCCATTGTGAGTATTGGGAAATGAACTTGGATCCTCTGGAAGAACCCAAGCATTCTTAACCTTCTTCCTAACCCCAAGAATGTCTTATAGACAATGAAGTTCTTACAGCATGAGTTGACAACATTAATGATGGCCCAGGTTCTTTCCCTCTTTTAGACCAGCTCTCCTTATTGTGCTAGTTTTCATCCCCATAGAAACTCAAATTAGTGGCAGGAATTCTAAATAATCTAAGGGCCAGAAATAGCCATTCCTTCTTCCTGAGGTTTTTTCGCATAGAGGAGAAAATTATGAGTTCTTCAGTAGACTTCTCTGACTCATTGGCTGGATTTGCATCATCTGCATACTTCTAAACCAGCCACAGAGAATGGGCTCATGAGTACCATATTGCTTAGAGTAGACAAGGGCTTGAGAAGAGCAGGCCTCCCTTGAAGCTAGTGACTCTGACACCTTTGGGGTTTCATGAGCAAGGAGTAGGAAAAATCACTAGAGAGGAAACTATGAGCACTGGAGGCAGGCTGTCGAATACCAGTAGCCACATGCATCATTTATATTTAAACTTAACTACAGTCTAAAATTCAGTTGCTCAGTCACCCATAGTCATTTTTTTGGGCATTCAACTGTCACCTGTCACTCTGGTGGTTGCCATGTTCTATAGTACAAATAGAGAACATACACCATCATGAAGGTTCTATTGGCAGCCCTCCTTCTTCAGGCTTCCTTCTCTTGGTACCTATCTTCACTTCTTACAGGTATTCTTCCCCCAAGGTCCTCTCTTATTGCCATAGCAACCACATCACTCTACTAATCTTCAGCCCAACCATCTCTCCATGGAGGTCTTAACCTTTCAGATCTGGGCACTTTAAAAGCCAAAACCAAAGTCAAGGTCTTCTTAAGTAGCACAAGCTCATCTTGACTCACATTTCTCTCATCTTTCACCTTCCTGAGTCCTGGGATGTCAGACCTGAGTCACTACAACTGGTCTTAGTCCATATTTTTAGAAGGCTATAGTCGACATCCCCAAGGTCTTAGGTTTGATTAAGAATAGAAGGCTCTATCCACTCATTTTCCTTTCTTTTCTGTCCCTTGATGAGACTTTCATGAGAAAGAGAGCACAGGACTCTGCAAGTTTCAGGGATGATGGGAGCATAGTATGCTAGCATACAAGATGAGTTAAGCAAGGAATAGTATGAGTTCTTTCATTTTCTTTTTTTCCTTTGCAACAATGTGAATATGTGTGCATGCATACTTACTGTGTGTGAATTTGAGTGAATGCAGGTGCATGTACACGTGTGTGCACATGTGTAAACATGTGGAGGCTGAAGTTGATGCTAAGTGTCTTCCTCAATTGCCCTTTTCTTTATTTATCGAGGCATAGTCTCTTGTTGAACCCAGAGCTCACCAGTTCTGGCTAGTCTATCTAGTCAGCTTGCCCCCAGATCCTGTTTCTACTTCTTACTGGGATAATAGACAACTGCTCCTGACTGAGCTTTTACATTTGCACAGTATGATGGTTTGAAAGCAAATGGCCCCCAAAGGAAGTGACATTATTAGGAGGTGTGGCTTTGTTGGGGTAGATATGGCCTTGCTGGAGGAAGTGTGTTTGTAAGGATTCAGGCACTACGCTAACCTGCCCCTGTCACCTGGCAGGATGCACTCAGGCAGTATCCTGGTCAGCCCCCTTTAAAAAGGACCCCTTTAAAAGAAAGACCTCCGCCCACTTATGCTCTTTTTCCACTCCTCTCTTTCCTGTGATTCCCCTGGGGCAGACAGGACTTTTCCTGTCTCCCTCTTCTCTTTTGTCCTCTCGCTTTCGGTCTCTGGGTCTCTGTCTCTTTATCTCTTTTCACTTTCCTTCCCTCCTACTCCCCTTCCTAATAAAACTTGTCACTTAAGATCTGTCTGCCTGGCATGTTTGTCCCTCCGCCTCATTCACCCTCGCCTGCCATGGAATCTGCCAAGGTCCCCCATGCAAGGTTCCCCACGTGCTTTTCACAACAGTGTGCCACTGTGGAAGCTGGCTTTGAGGTCTCTTTTACTCAAGATACTGCCCAGTGTTTCAGACCATTTCCTGTTGCCTGTGAGATGTAGGCTCTCAACTATTCTCCAGCACCATGTCTGCCTGCATGCCGCCACATTCGACCATGATGATAATGGACTGGACCTCTGAACTATAAGCCTGCCACCCCAATTCAATGTTTTCCTTTATAAGAGTTGCCATGGTCATGGTGTCTCTTCACAGCAATAGAAACCATAACTAAGACACAGTGAGTGTGTTATCTATTGATCTCTCAGCTCCTCATTCCTCAGGTAGCCCAAGTGAGCCTCGAATTTCTGATCATCTTGCTTCTAACTCCCAAGTGCTGGGATTACAAGTATGTGCCGTCATGGCCTGACTTCCTTATTTTTCCATCATTACAAGTGACTGAAGCCACAGCCTCATGTACACTAGGCAGGTGCTATATCTATGAGTTAGATCCTCACTGAGAATTCTAAAAGCAACATCTGTAAGCCTGGCTCTGTCTAGTGTCAGAACCATTCTCACTGTGCGTGTCTAAGCAATCTGGGTTACAACAAGGTAACATCGTCTTGAAAGTGTGCCCTTTCATGATTATTGATATCTATTAAATGAAGTCACCAGATTATGTGCATTCATACATTAGTCGGTTATGTCTGCCATAACCAATCACCACAGCCTGAAAAGCTTGAGTAACCGAAGTGTATTTCTTGCAGTTCTGAAGAGTTGAAGTAAGAGATCAAGGTACGAGGCTGTCAGTTTCTTCTAGGGCCTTCTCTTTTTAGTTGTCAGTGGCCACCTTGTTCAGATGTTTTCATATATTCTTCTTTCAGTCTATTTCTGCGTCTTTTTTAAAAAAAGATTTATTCATTTATTATGTATACAGTGTTCCGCCTGCATGTATGCCTACACACCAGAACCAGAGGGCACAAGATCTCACTACAGATGGTTGTGAGCCACCATGTGGTTGCTGGGAATTGAACTCAGGACCTCTGGGAGAGCAGCCAGTGCTCTTAACCACTCCAGCCCTATTTCTGGGTCTTAAAATCTTATAGGGACATTGGTCTGCATTGGGCAAGGACCACCCAAATTATCTCATTGTAGTTAACTTAAAGATGCTATCTCCAAATGTAATTACCTTCTGAGACCCTGAGGTTTAGAAGATGAACCTATGAATTCAAAAAGAACACACTTTCAACCCATCTCACTATCCCAAGTGCTACTGTGTTCACTGTACTTGCAGACGGTCACAGTTTTCCATGTGTGAATAGAGTGTGATTCAATATGCCTCTGGTCACATAAAAGATAGTATGGGCTCTGTGCATGTATTTGTACTTGTAATGAGCTGTTCATACACAGAGGGAGGTCAAGAGAGATCAATCCAGGACTGACCTTGGGTCCTGCACTTATAAGCCCAGAGAGAGACAACACTAGGGCAGACTCCAAGGCAGGATGGCCAGTCTGTGAAACCTGTGTCTGGCTGTTCTTAGCCATGGCTGTTTGTCTCCTTCTGCCTCTCTCCTCTTTAGAATTCCACAGGAAACCATGCTTTCATACTAGAATAATTTTCTTTGCTCCAGACATTAGTGATGCATCAGCATACAATCTCTGAACAAAAGAGCCCACAGACCTCCCGCATCACCCCGGTCCTGGAAAACTTCCTCCAAGACAGTGACCTGGTTGAGCCCTGGTGGCGACAAGAAGAGCTAGGAAAAGGAGGGGTCCTGGAGCATGGGTAGGGAAGACCATGTTACCAACCACTGATACAATTCCTTTGTTGGTGGGCTCAAGGCATGCAGCATCTCCTCCTGTAATTCGAAGACCAAACACCAGGTGGAGAAGTGAACCCCACAAGAAGTTCCTGAACAAAGCCAGGCTCCTGCCACCACACCACAGGGACTCCTTAGAGCCAGAAGGAAGTAAAGGAGGTAGGGCAGCCTGGGGTCAAAGTCCAATGCTCCACCCATACCTGCAGCCCCCTGCTCCAGAACCAATGCAAGGCAGAAGAGGCAACTGTGTCTACCAAGTCATCACTCTTGTATACTCACTCAGTTGCATCCTCTCAAGCCAGGTAGCACTTTGGACGGAAGTGCCCTTTGGACTGAGGTTTCCAAGGAAAGTCCATCAGCAAATTCAGGCTCAGGTGGGGCTGT